GCTCCCCGCCCGCCCCACACGTCGTCTCTTCTCGTTATCCTGTCCCTCCCGGTAAGGTCACTCTCCCACGGCAGATTCGCATCGCGTCTACTGCCGCCCAGGTCTATCCAGCCGTTGTCGTTTCTGCTGCCGTCGTCGCTCCGCCTGGGGGGCTCGTCTTGGCGCCATCTGCTCCCCCCTTGCCTGCCCGACGGGCCGCCGCGGCCTCCGCGCGCGCGCACGGTCACAGCGCGCCGAGCGACGTGCTGCTCGACGCGTGCAGGCGTGGAAAGGAGAGTGTGCGACCGGGAGCGCTGCTGTATGCGATCTAGGGCGGTGAGGCGACAACTTAAGAATGTGGGATTTGAGAGTGCGGCCTGCACAGGAAGCGGGCATAGCGAAGAGTGCAGGGAAGTGGAATAACGCGTGAGGGGCGATGAGAGAGAAAGAGAGAGAGGAGTGGGAGACCAGGAACGGGGACACTAGTTGCACGGAAGGGACGGGGGGTGGCGCCGAACGCACGAGGGGACGAGGCTAGGGCCGTGTGTGGCGGAAGGAAGAGCGGGAAGTATGTGGGGCAAGAGATCGACGATTGCAATGCTCGCATGAGGCTGGACCGCGGGTGCGAGAGAAAACTTGGAATTAGCGGATCTTAGTCGGAAAAGCGGTCTGGTATCAACGAGGATGCGGGGTGATGGAGAGGCAAGCGACGCACCGACAGAACCGCACCACATGCGGCGCGTGCACGACGGGGTCATTGCGCGACAGAATGGAGGCGGGCGTGAAGGGGTGGGTGAGTGGGGAATGAGGGATACGGTGCGGGGGGTGAATTGGCGAGGTAGGGAGAGCATTACATCTAAAACGAGAGATTTACCTTCCGAGAATAGCAGCTAACAGCAGCACGCGGGGAGGGTGACAGGCGAGGAGCTTTAGTGGTGGAGCCGTGCACGGACAACACCAGGCTGAATTGCTGCCTCGACAATGCATTTTGAGCTGCCATGGCGCATGTAGGTTGGAATGTTCACGGGACTGGTGTTGTGGTGCATAAATCCGTTCAAAATGACTCCTAGAAAGCGGGACGGGGAACTCCTGGGGATTGCCGTGTGGGATGAGTGGGAGTATTGGGGAGGGAGTGGTGCGACATGGTTGGCTGCTTGTAGGACACGCCACCTGGAGGGCTGTGGCCGACGCTGATTTGAAGAGGAATCAATGGCTGATTGAGCCGATGCGAAGCTCTTCTCTGTTACAAAATTTAGCTGTACCAAGGTCCTTGCATTATTCGTTTACTTTTGCCACTCCTTCACTTTCCAAGTTCCTTCCATTATTCGTTTCCTTTTGCCACTCCACTTCACTCTAGTAATATATTAAATGGTATGTGAAACTTCAGCAGAGAAACATTTACAATACGATTGTTAACTGATAAGGCACCAAATTCATGTATCTAATTAAATATTTTAAGAGAGATTTACTTTTTTATATTTAAGCTATAAAGAAGAACTTGCATGTTGCTGTCATCAGAAGTGACTGTCATGCCATGCAGAAGTGACATGATATGTTTAGAACTATCTATCAATAGAACCATTGGACAAAACCACTTGGGTATGGAGTTGTACAGAAACGCGAAACCTTGGTTTCCTATCCCAGAGGAAACAGACGAAGCAAGAGAACCCCCTTCACATATTCATGTGGTGTGCCCGTACACGGGCAGGAAACTGTAGTCTGACATGCTTGAGTGACTCCTCTCAGTACCCCAAGTCGGAACGACAGCCCCATCTTGCCAAAGAACAAATGACAAATTAGACAGAATAATAGCCGCATGATTCGGGAAACCAAGTTCCCTTTTCTCTTTTCAGTTCCCTGACTCCAGAAAGCTCCAATCTCGTTTACCATTCTCAACGGAACGCAAATTGAGAGCCTCCACCATCCCAGCTTCCATCAGTAGAAATGCTGCCGTCGTTGTGCAGCACCACGGTCTCACTGCTGTTAGAAACAGCCTACCAACCGTCCACGACTGTCACTCTCCTTACAAACCCGAAATTTCCACGGAACATCGTCATCAGAAAGAAGTGTTCTTTGGAGGTATAGAATGGGAGAAGTCATAACCGTCCTGCCGCATGCTTCTTGCTGCGACAGCCCTCTGTGCCTCATTCTGATCGCAGCTACTAGACCGAGGGCTTCTGAGTTCGCGGTGTGGCCAGTCAGTAATTCGGAGGCATCTACTTTCCGACAGACGATTCACGCTCTGCGTCGTCGTGATTGTGGGTTGAACCCATGAAATTAGGACCACGCAGGTTATGAAGCAGCGCCGCTAGCACTCACCCGTTGTACAGACCGCGCCATGACTGGGTGTCGCATTCCTCGCTACGATGCCCGAGGCAGCGATGAAGCACAGCCAGCAGCAGCAGCACCAGAAGCAGCGCCAACAACCGCAGCAACTATCCGCACTACGCGCCCAGCAACCAACACCGGCCCCTGTCGCGGCGACGACGCCGAATCTCGAGAAACAGTCCTGGTACGCCATGAATTCCACGCGAGCGGCGTTGGACCTGGACCGAGAGCATGGTGAAATCACGTTCCGTGGAGGACTCTAGAGCTCTAGGGAGGTCTGCACAGCTCTCGACCCCAGAAGTCCAGCCGTCAGGCGTCCAGCCGTCCAGCCGTCCAGCCGTCCAGCCGTCCAGCCGTCCAGAAATTAGCCAAGTAGGCTTTTAGCTTGCGGATTTTCACGTGTAGTGGAAAGTCGCGACCCTGTACCCGTACAGGTGTATCGTAGCAATACTAGTCGCTCCTCGGAAACTCCCTTCTCCGGCTCCCAGCCGCGGTGTTTCCCACCGCGTGTGTGCTACGATATTCCGGGGCGACAACTCAACGGGTTTGAGCACGAGGATCTGATAAAGGGTTCGAAAGGTCGCAATCATGGGAGGATCTTGAAGTAGTTCTAGTACTAGTATCGGTACTGGCGCGAGCAGCGAAGCGTATGATCTTGACTGCCACACGTTGCACGAATTTCGCAGGAGGCAGCACATGTGTTGTGTACCGCCACGAGTTTGGGTAGACTTTTGAGTCGACTCAAAAGTCAACTCGAATTTCGCAGGAGGCAGCACATGTGTTGTGTACCGCCACGAGTTTGGGTAGACTTTTGAGTCGACTCAAAAGTCAACTCGAATTTCGCAGGAGGCAGCACATGTGTTGTGTACCGCCACGAGTTTGGGTAGACTTTTGAGTCGACTCAAAAGTCAACTCGAATTTCGCAGGAGGCAGCACATGTGTTGTGTACCGCCACGAGTTTGGGTAGACTTTTGAGTCGACTCAAAAGTCAACTCGAATTTCGCAGGAGGCAGCACATGTGTTGTGTACCGCCACGAGTTTGGGTAGACTTTTGAGTCGACTCAAAAGTCAACTCGAATTTCGCAGGAGGCAGCACATGTGTTGTGTACCGCCACGAGTTTGGGTAGACTTTTGAGTCGACTCAAAAGTCAACTCGAATTTCGCAGGAGGCAGCACATGTGTTGTGTACCGCCACGAGTTTGGGTAGACTTTTGAGTCGACTCAAAAGTCAACTCGAATTTCGCAGGAGGCAGCACATGTGTTGTGTACCGCCACGAGTTTGGGTAGTGGTGGTAACACTGAGCGGCAAGTTCCCGCGAGCAAGGATCATGTCATCCCTAGGGGGAACGCCGGAATCGAGGTCGCCGTGGTCACACCAGGGGGAACGCAGGCTAACACCAGCAGAGACGGGTTCTTTTCCGCGGGAGAAAGGGAGGGGGAAGGGGGGCGTGGGGGGAACGGAATCTGCGTGGCGTTGGTCGGGTTGGCGCAAAAGACGCCGCGATCAGTTCAGTGCCATCATGCTCTTACAGAAGTGCCGGTGCTCCTTGTCGCGGTTGAGAGATGGAGCTCCATGCTCGTTCGTGCTTCGTCCATCTCTCTCCATCCTACAATGATTCCCATACTCTCTCCCCTCCCTTGTATGCCCGTCCCCATCCTCATTCTGGTCCCCCTTCCCCCTGTCCTCCCCCTTCCTTCCTCCCCCCTTCCCCTTCTCTCCCCGTCATGGCATGGATGGTCCCCTCTCAAGCGCACTGCTCCACGCTCGTCTCAGTCTCCTCCGGCAGTGCATGGCTCAGCGCAGCACGAACCAACCACCCCACGCTGCTGCAGCACCCCCACGCCTTTTGAGGCGCCACAAGAATCGGCTCAGTCTCCTCCGGCAGTGCTTGGCTCAGCGCAGCAAGAACCGTCCAGTCCACGCTGTTTCAGTGCCCCTCAGCCACGTGGAGCAAGGATGAGCGGACCTGCTCCGCCCGTGGGTGCTGCTGTGCTGCTGCTACTGCTGCCGCTGCTGCTGCACGGCATGGGATGGCAGGGTGCCATGGCGCAAGCCACACTCAATGACGATGAATGTATGTGTGTGTAAGCAGTATGCAGGATGCAGGATGCAGCATGCTGCTGCTGCGGCTGCGGCTGCCACAACTACTTCTAGTACAACTGCTGTCCTGTGGTGCCCGTGCTCTAAAACAGTTTAGCCGTGTAAAACGCTTACCCACTTGGCTTCGCCTGCTACACATCATGTGATGTGGGTGCGCCGCTCCTCTTCCCCAACCCTCCCGCCTGCTGATGAATCCATGCGCCGTGCACGCCCATTCCGGTCTCCCGCGTTTGCCCGCACCGCACCCACCAGGGCTGGCAATGAAGGAGATGAAGGCGGCGCTGTCGTTCTCAGGGCGGGACACGTGGGTGCAGGGCGCTGTGTGCACCACCATGACAGGCGTCACGTGTGATGCCAGCGGCTATGTCACCCGCATGTGAGCCAGCCGCGGTGTGGTAGTAGAAGGGGGACGGGTGGGGGTGTGGGGGGCTGGGGAGGGAGAGTGGCTTGGGATGGATTGCGGTGGGTGACGTGGGTGGTGATATGATGGGGTATATGTGATATACGGCACATGATGTGGTGGATGATGGTGGGATGGGGGTGCTGGGATGGGTGGCATGGGTTGGAATGAACCGGGCTGCAATACCCATTCATGAACGTGAATCATCAAGTTACCCACTCCTCTCCTCATTCATTGCTATTGCTTGTTCCTAATACATGCCGGCCTGCCTTCCCGCTCCTCCCTCACATGACTGCTTCCATGCCTGATTCCATGCCTGCTTCCGTGCCTGCTTCCGTGCCTGCTTCCGTGCCTGCTTCCGTGCCTGCTTCCCCCCTGTCCAGCAAAGTGCCAGACTTCTCAGGCTCTCTGCCAGCGGCCATTGGAGACCTCATACATCTCAACTACCTGTCAGTGCATGCTCCTGGGATGTGCCTGGGCCGTATGGTGTGACATGCCATGTGTGTTGAATGTGTGGTGTATGTATCATGCCATGTCATGTCATGCTGCACTGCATGTGGTGTGTGGCGAACGATGACTTCGCCAGCATTCGCATTCCATCCATCCATAGTGCTGTTTTTTTCAGGGAAGTGGTTAGTTACATGCATGGGGATGGGGGTGCATGTGGCAATCATGTGTTCATGTGGCGATCATGTGTGTGTGTGTGTGTGCTGTGCATGCCTGCGTCTTCTCTCTCCTATAGCATCTTGGGTTGGGGCCCATCTACTGCCTTGTGCCTCCTCCACAATTCTCTCTTTAGCTCAGCCCTACCATGTTCGCACCGCACATGCTCACCGGGCCGTACACACTGACCCTCCCCTGCCCTCACACACTCACCTGCCCGCACACACGCACATGCCATCTCCCCTGCCCGCCATGGCACATCGCACGCCACCAGGTTCTGTGTGTCAGACAGGCTCACAGGGCCGCTTCCAAACTCTATCTCCAAACTCACCAACCTGCAGTCGCTGTGAGCCGGGGGCGTGGGGAGGGCACGCGGGGGAGAAGTAGGGAGGGAATGAAGAGAGGTATTGGGGGGCGTCGGAAGGAGAGTACGAAGCAGGGATTGGATTGGGACTGTGCGGGAGGCAGGAGGGCTAGGAGGAAGGCTCAAGGGTACCATTCACCAAACCCCCGCCTGTTCTGTGTTGCAGGGAATGAAATTCTGAGAAGTCCTTGTTGTTTATCCCTTTGAACTGTGCTACATCCCTTCCTTTTGAGCTATGCTTTCTATTGGAACCTCCTGTCTTGTATTTCACTCCTGCACGCGCAGCCCCCTTCCCACACCGTTCCTGAACTCGTGTGTTCACAGACCGCTACACCTCTGCTGCCGTCGGACTTATTGTACCAACTCTTTTCCTCACCACCTTCTCTGCCCACTCTTCCCCCCTTCGCCTCGACATGTGGATGTGTGTGTGTGTGTGTGTGTGTGTGTGCGGGCATGGCATGTGTGCACGCATGGCAGGGTGCTGGTGTCAACAGGCATATTGGGGAGCATTCCTAAAGAAATAGGCAGCATGGTCAGCCTTGAATACCTGTAAGCAACACAGCAGCAGCAGGCTCCCCAACCCAAGCAATTAACCACCTTGCTGTTGCAGGCGGTTTCTTAGAATTCTAAAAAGCTGCTGGAATTCTCTAAAACAGCCAGCGTTCCCTGTGCATTCCCTAGGGCATAGCATAGGCAGCTTGGTCAGCCTCGAGTACCAGTGCGCTGCAAGCAACACACAACACATTGACCTTCTCACCATGCAAGCAAGCACATTGAAGCTCCTCTCACTGCACTGCACTGCAGGCACACAGCCAAACACACACTTGCAACTCCCAGACTGCTTGCAATCCCGCTCCCGTCACCACCACCGGCACCGTCAAGAGCAGCCCATTCAATTCGGCGTAGCATACCCTTAGCTCTCTCCCTCCTGAGTAGAGAGATATTTCGTGGATGTCTTACAATTGTACTAACCCAGCCAAGCTCAACACCCTTCTGGCGTAGCTGAGGTTTCTCCACTTGCCTCGCACCTATCCATGCTTGCCACTTCTGGAACCAAAAGAACTGCGGGGGTTTCAGGCTTCGAAATAGTTTGTATCCAAGTGCTTTTATAACGTTTAAAAATCCCAGAACTCGACATATAAGAGCTCACTGATTAATGCAGAATGGTATGTGTCAGGCACATCAAACTCAAAGCACAAGAACATTTTTCTCCCATCTCGGAAAAGGGTGCGGATGTGGTGTGTGGGAAGGTTCAAATCAGATAAACCCCCAACAATAACAGCCAAAACAGGCGAACCTCCTTTATTTTCTCCTCCCTCCTACCTACCAACCTCTTCTTGCCATAATGCGCCACGCCCTTGACTCCTGCCACCTTCGTTTCGGCCCCTCCCTCCCCCTCCTCCCTCCTCGTGGCACCACCAACCCGGCCCGAACCCTCCCTCCCGCAGTAGCTTATACGGCACAAACATCGAGGGCGCCATCCCCACCTCCATTGGTGCCCTCAACGCCCTCCAGACTCTGTATGTATGCCACGCCACTCTTTGCTTGAGGCCATTTTCAACACTGTGTGTATGCTTTTGAGGCGTTTGAGGCGTTTGAGGCGTTTGAGGCGTTTGAGCATCTCATAAGTAGACCCCTCCTCCTCCATTGGTAGACTCTAGATCCTCCAGACTCTGTATACACAGCAGAAATGCAGTTGGGCGGAGGAGGGGGTGAGTGAGTCTTGAGTCTTGTGACTCGTTTGAGTCGACTCTCCAAGTCCCCTCGTTACCATGGCGAGTACGTGGCTGAAAAGTGCACTGCTCATCTCTCCTGCGGCCTCCCATTTGTTGCTGTTCCGGTAATAGCATGCAATCAATGTTCCGGTCACTGCCCTTCCCCTCGCTTTTCCTCCCCTTCCCTCTCTTCCCCTCTCCCCGCCTTGCCTCTCCTCCCGATTCCTCCACTCCCTCCTCTCTCATCCCCCCCATGTATCTCTCCTTTCAACTTCTCTCAGCCATTCTCCTCCTCCCATCCCCGTACTCCCCTCCCTTCTCTTTCCCACGTTCGCCTCCCTTTCCCCCTCTTTTCGTTAACCCTCTCTAACCTTCCCATCCTCCTCCCCACACCCCCTCCTAACAAATCTCTCTCCTAACCCCCCTCCTCCTCCCCGCACCCCCTCCTCAATCTTCTTCACCTCCCCAATCTTCCCTTCCTCACTGGTAGCAATCTGGCATACACAGGCCTGTCAGGGAGCATACCTGAGGAGATTGGCGGGTGTTCTGCCCTCAGATTGCTGTAAGCTGCTGCACACGAGCACGTGAGCACACGAGCACACGAGCACATGAGCACTCCATTCCGTTCATCCGTTCATCCAGCAAGGTGTCACTGATACAGAGGACGCGTATGGTATGACGTGCAGGGGATGTGTATGGTATGACGTGCAGGGGATGTGTATGGTATGACGTGCAGGGGATGTGTATGGTATGACGCGCAGGGGATGTGTATGGTATGACGTGCAGGGGATGTGTATGGTATGACGCGCAGGGGATGTGTATGGTATGACGCGCAGGGGATGTGTATGGTATGACGCGCAGGGGACCCAACTTGGCAGTAATGCAATCTGTGCCTCTACAAGAAAGAACCCTCCAACTTGCGCGCATCCTATCAAAAGCCCCACTCGCTCTACCTCTTCCCAACAGCGCACCATTAACCCTGTTCTGCTGTTGAATTCCGAGCTGGCAAGCAAACGATGAAGCCGGACAGAAATGGAATGTGCTGCTTCACACATGCACGCATGAGCGATGAGAAGAATCAGCGGGTGGAGATGAGAACTGCAGGCACTGAAATGTTTGGGACGTTGCAAAACCGTGTGCGTGATAACTATTGGGTAACGAGACGAGATCCCCGTGTGCGTGCGTACACAACACTCGCAGTGATTATGAACGAGATCCCTGCGCACGTGCACATCACTCGCTTGCTCATTTCCTTTTTTTTTCTTCGTAACTGTCCTTGCGTTAACAGCCCACCAGTGTGCTATGCTCCATGTATTCACGAGTACTCATTCACTCTCTTCAATCTTGTCACTCTCTTAGTTCTCTTCACTCTCCTCACGCTCTTTCCTCCAATCTCCCCTTGCCCTGCTGCAGGTCTCTGTCAGCCTCTCCTATCTCTGGCTCGCTTCCCGCGTCCCTCAGCAAGCTAGTCAGCCTCACCCAGTTGTGGGTCACATCATGATCATATGCACTGCACACACAGTCCCTCCCACACATACGCACGCACACACTCACGCATACGCACGCACACACTCCCGCGTAAACGCGCGCACACGCACACACACATACACACACACACACACACGCTCATGCTTGCACACACACCACACGCACATCCACATGTCAACAGTGCGCAGAGAGCGCCACAGCTTCAGTGGGAGAGAACGTTTGCAGTCAAAACACGGCCACTCACAGTCACACAGCGACAACACCACCCTCTTATTCCTCCCCTTACCACCAGCGACATTGCTGTCCCCCTTCCCCACTATCCCCACAACGCCTCCTCTTACCCCGTCAGGGCCCAGTCTCGTGACCTCCCCCATCCACCCCTCCTTACCCACCTTCTGCCCCTCTCCCAAGCCATTTCTAATTGTGGCCTTTCCTTCGCCCCTCCCGCATTTCCTCACACATTCCTCTCGCTTTCCGTCTGGCTTTTCCTTCTCCCCGTCCCACGTGCAGTGAGGTGAATTTTGAGGCGCCTCAAAATTCCTTCTCCCCGTCCCACTCATCCCAAGCGAACTTCCGCACTCCCGTTCCTCCCTATCCACATCCCTCCCCATCCCCATCCTCCCCACCCCCCTCTCGCTCCCTGTCTCCCCGCAGTGACTGCCAGAAGTGCGCTCTCTCAGGGAAATTGCCTGGCACCATGGCAGACCTCGGCACGCTGCAGTACATGTGAGTGCTCAACTCAACGCATGAGAGCGATTCTTGAGTGGACTCAAGAATCTGCCGAAAGTGTGCGCTCTCAGAGTCACTGCCTGCCTGCTACCATGGCCGCCCTCGGCACTCTCTGCAGTACCTGTGAGTGAGTGCTCAACTCGCATGAGAGCGCGCATGGGGGGTAAAGTAAGCAGTGGTAGCGGATCTTTGCAGCACCTGTGAGTTTTTACTTGCAGCAAGAGATGCTGCGAGCTGCCTGAGGTGTCTGCTGCAGTATGTGTGAGGGTTCAATGCGTGAGTGCGTGGCAACAGGCAGCAGAGAGGAGGACGACATGCTGGATAGAGAAGGCCGATAGCTCTCCATGGCTCTCCATGGCACTCCATGGTACTCCATGGCACTCCATGGTACTCAATATAATGACAGCAGAGTTTTGAGCTGGTCCAACCAAACTGGCCGTTAAGGCCGTCTGCCTACCACTGCACTGCCCTTGCGTCTGTGCTGCTCCCTCGCTTCTGCTGCTCGCCCACAGCACCGCTTCAGCTCATTCAATCCTAGGAACAGGCAAGACAGTGACCATCACAGGGGGGGGTGTGCTTGAACGAAGCAAGCCTCCAATGCCACCTCCAATGCCACCTCCAATGCCACCTCCAATGCCACCTCCAATGCCACCTCCAATGCCACCTCTCCAATGCCACCTCCAATGCCACCTCCAATGCCACCTCCAATGCCACCTGCTTCATGTGCTGGATACAGTAAATAAGCACTCTCCGACACCCCTACCTCCCCTCCCCTGCCCCATCTGCCCTTCTTCTCCCTTCTCCTCTCTCCTCCCCTCTCCTCTTCTCTCCTTGTTAGTGTTAAGCCCTCAATCTCACATTTTGTACTTGCACTTTTTATATCCTAGTGTAGTGTAGTTTGCACTTTGTGTTTGGTTGGGTGTACACCCACATCCCAACCAAACCCAAATGTGATCTCCAAGCAATCTCCAAGCAATCTCCAACCCACCAATTGGAGATTGCCTTGGGATTACCCCCAATCCCTAGAGATTGCCCCCGATTCCCCTCCCCATCCATTCCTTGCTCATCCTGGATGTACTTAAAGAGCTTCGAGCTCATTACTGATATATCCTTCTAAGCTCAAGTTCTCACACTCCTCCCTTCTCCTCCCCGCTTCTCCCCTCACCCCATCCCCTCGTGGGCTGTGTGAGCAGCAACTTGAACATGAATCAGCTAAGCGGAGCGCTGTCAAGTTTTTTCAGTGGACTCGCCGGCCTGCAAACACTGTGAGTGACGCACTCATGTGCCCATGCACGCACACGTACCCGCACACACACATGCACATGCACACACGCGCGCGCGCGTGCACACGTGCGCACGCACACGCACATGCAAACACGCACGCACACATGCACTCGTATTCGCCCCTGCACACACACATGCACGCACGTGCATGTACACACATAATCACACATATTCTCTCCGTTTTCACCCTTCTCTGGTCCCCTTTTCTGTCATTTCCGCTCTCCCACGCTTCCCCCCTCTCTCCTGCCGTCCTCGACAAACCTCCTCTGTTACCATCGCCTCTCTCTCCTTCCTTGACTTCTTTGCACGCCCCATCTTCTACCCATACCTACGGCTGTGATTTGCCATCCCCTCGAAGCAAGCCTCACTTCTCTCCCCTTTTCCACTGTGGCCCCTCCGCATTCCCTCGCTCCTCCCTTCAAAGCTCCTTCTGTAACTTGTAATAAATATTTTTTATAAAAAAGCATTCCAACGCAAAGCTAATATTTGAAAAACATTTCTTTTTACTATTATTACCTTCATTACTGATTATAGCAATACATGAAAAAACTAATATTCTTTTGTTCACAATTTTCTCCCCCACTCCATTCCCCTTCCCATCCCGCCCCCCCTTCCCTCCTCCCTTCCCCGATCCCGTCCTCCATCCCTGCCCCCCTCCCTTCCCCACTCCCTTCCCCTTCCCCCCCCACCAGCAAGCTATCCAACAATGCGATCAGCGGGTCTTTGCCACACGGCATAAGCGGGCTCACTGCACTCACATGGGTGTGAGTTAAATTTAGAGGCGCCTCAAAAGAAGTCTTTTGAGGCGCCTCAAAAGTAGCGATCAGCGGGTCTTTGCCACACGGCATAAGCGGGCTCACTGCACTCACATGGGTGTGAGTTGGATAGAAGGGGATGGAAGCAGGGGGGGAAGAGGGGATAGAGGGTAAACCGGGGTGGGGAGGGGGACTGGGGAGAGGGATCCGGGGAGAGGGGAGCGGGGAGAGGGTGAGGGTACAGGGCTGAAGAGAGGGATTGCGATGTTCTGTTTGTGCTGTAGTGGTTTGGCTGGTTAAGAAGACCTGGGTGTCTCTCACTCAGCGTTTTGCATGCTATGCTTCACATGGGCTTTGTTATGCTTCACATGGGCTTTGTTATGCTTCACATGGGCTTTGTTATGCTTCACATGGGCTTTGTTATGCTTCACATGGGCTTTGTTATGCTTCACATGGGCTTTGTTATGCTTCACATGGGCTTTGTTATGCTTCACATGGGCTTTGTTATGCTTCACATGGGCTTTGTTATGCTTCACGTGGGCTTTGTTATGCTTCACATGGGCTTTGTTATGCTTCACATGGGCTTTGTTATGCTTCACATGGCCTTTGTTATGCTTCACATGGGCTTTGTTATGCTTCACATGGGCTTTGTTATGCTTCACATGGGCTTTGTTATGCTTCACATGGGCTTTGTTATGCTTCACATGGGCTTTGTTATGCTTCACATGGGCTTTGTTATGCTTCACGTGGGCTTTGTTATGCTTCACATGGGCTTTGTTATGCTTCACATGGGCTTTGTTATGCTTCACATGGGCTTTGTTATGCTTCACATGGGCTTTGTTATGCTTCACATGGGCTTTGTTATGCTTCACATGGGCTTTGTTATGCTTCACGTGGGCTTTGTTATGCTTCACATGGGCTTTGTTATGCTTCACATGGGCTTTGTTATGCTTCACATGGGCTTTGTTATGCTTCACATGGCCTTTGTTATGCTTCACATGGGCTTTGTTATGCTTCACATGGGCTTTGTTATGCTTCACATGGGCTTTGTTATGCTTCACATGGCCTTTGTTATGCTTCACATGGGCTTTGTTATGCTTCACATGGGCTTTGTTATGCTTCACATGGGCTTTGTTATGCTTCACATGGGCTTTGTTATGCTTCACATGGGCTTTGTTATGCTTCACATGGGCTCTGCTCTGCTTCACATGGGCTCTGCTCTCTATCTTTTCTCCATCCATCCGTTCAGCCAGCCAGCCCACCTGTTTGAAAGTTGGAACCCGCTTGCCCCCAATCCATCCCGTTCCTTGCAACTCTACAGTGGAGGAAGCTCAGTTGAGCATTCTCAAAATTCTTTAGACTCCAGACTGGCCACTCCTCTCATGAGCTTGCTCCTTTTTGTTGTAGGTTGATTTTGAGAATTATCAGAATTAGCCTACAACAAGCAGGCCACCTGTCATGAGCTTCCACCCTCTCCTCCCATCCCACGTCTCTCAGTGTATGTTGCTGACATGCCTCTCCCTCTTTGGCATTCCCCTTCTTGTTGTTGCCCTCCTGTTGTGTCTGAGGTGAGTGTGTACTCATGTGTGTGTGTGTGCGGGGAAGAGGAAATGGAATGGGGGATGAGGTGGGGTGGGGGTGTTTCTGGACACGTGGTGTGCATGTGTTCTGTTGATACGTATGCGGCATGCACCATGGCAATACGCACCATGGCATCATGCACCATGGCAATATGCACCATGGCATCATGCACCATGGCATCATGCACCATGGTATCATGCACCATGGCAATACGCACATGGCAATGCATGGCATCAGGGAGCTATCGAGCAACGAGCTGAGTGGGTCGCTACCTGAAGGCATCGGTGGGCTCTCCAACGTGAAGCAGCTGTGAGATTCCATCCATGCATGCCATGCCATGCCACACCATGCCATGCCACACCATGCCATGCCATGCTGCACCATGCCATCCCACCCATCCCATCGCACAGCATGGGATCCTTTCCATCATGTGTCGCAGCATGTCACGCACACCCTTCTTCCATCCTGACCTGTCTCCCTGGTCCCAGACCCACCTTTCCCACACCACAAAACAATCCTCTCCTTTCTTCCTTTCCGCTCCTCATTTCCGCTGCTCCCGCCCTCTGCCTCGGTCCCTCACACACGGCCCTTTGCACCACAAAGCAATGCCTCGCCCTCTTCCTATCCCGCCTCACACTCCTCAACCCCCCATGCCATGCCATGCCATCCATCCATGCACTATAAAGCTGCCTCAAACCTCGTGCTTTTTTACCCCCACACTATCCATGCAGTGCTCTGGACCACAACCAGCTATCAGGCCCACTGCCCAGCACCATCAGCGACCTTGTCCGACTCAGGGAACTGTCAGTGCTGCTCTCCGTCTCTCCCTCGCTCCTGCCACCTGTGCCATGCCATGCCATGCCACGCCATGCCATGCCATGCCATGCCATGCCTTTGCAGCCCATGCTGCATATGCGCCATGCCATCGCCCATGGCATATCATACTTCTCCCTTCAATGCCCATGATCCTGTGTTGTGTACCCATGTACAAGGCACGCTGCACTGCAGCACCACCTCCTTTCCCATGTCCCACTTTTCCTAGTCTTACAGTGCCCATGAACAAGGCATGCCTTTCTTTCTTCTTATGATGATCTCCCAGGCATGCCTTTAGAACGGCATGCCGCCGCTCTTCTGATGATCTGTGCTCACTTGCTCTACCGTGTCACCCCACCATCCCACTCACCTTCTCTACCTGCGTGGCTCCCTGCAGCTATCTAAGCTTCAACGAGTTCTTTGCGTCACTCCCCGCAGAAATCAGTGGCCTCGCTGACCTGCAGATACTGTGAGTGTGTGCATGGCATGGCATGGCATGGCATCACGTGGCCCCTCATGGCATGGCATGGCATGGCATGACGTGGCATCATGTGGCCCCTCATGGCATGGCAGGGGGTGTACCGTGTCAACGACGTCTCGAGTGCATATGGTATGGTGTAACTTTTGAATGCACATCTGTTTCTGATAAAAATAAAATTTGCATTTGTTACTGGAAAACTGACCTGAATCTACATGAGGTTTTGGCTCAAGTGCAGGATAGGCAAAAGTTTGTTACTGCCCCTTCTTGACCTTTCTTTGGCTCCACACTCCCGCCCTCCTCTCTCCCGCCCTCCACACGCCCGCCCTCCACACTCCCACCCTCCACACTTCACGGCCTCCACACTTCATGCCCTTGAAGCCTACTACTACCCCACCCACTTCAGCCTCTTCAACTCCACCTTCCCTCCCATCCCCGTCAACCCCTTTCAACCCCACCATGCGTCAGCAGTGACCTACCTTTCACCTTCCCCATCACCCCCACAATGAATCCCCATCACCCCCCTCACCGCCCTCACCCCCCTCACCGCCCTCACCCCCCTCACCGCCCTCACCGCCCTCACCCCCCTCACCGCCCTCACCGCCCTCACCCCCCTCACCGCCCTCACCGCCCTCACCCCCCTCACCGCCCTCACCACCCTCACCCCCCTCACCGCCCTCACCGCCCTCACCCCCCTCACCGCCCTCACCCCCCTCACCGCACTCCCCCACCACCGCCGCCGCGGCATGGCAGGGCCATGTCCAACTGTGAGCTGCTCGGCTCGCTGCTTTTGAGGCACCTCAAAAGTCTCTTCATCCCCCTCACCCCTCTCACCCCCCTCACCCCCCTCACGTCCACCACCCACGCCACGACATGGCAGAGCCATGTCCAACTGTGAGCTGCTCGGCTCGCTGCCATCGGAACTTGGTCTGCTCCCCAACCTAGGCTACCTGTGCGTGCTGCCTCCCTTCCTGCCTCCCTTCCTGCCTCCTGCTCCTGCCTCCCTTCCTGCCTCACGTTCCTGCCTCCCATTCCTCCTACCCTACTCACCATCTCACCTTCATGCCGCATGCCTCATTCACCTGAGCTTTCCTGCAGACAGATTGATTGATGGGTTAGGGCCACCGCAGCAAGCTTAGAGTTTTGTTATCTTCTTAACTTAGCCACCTTAGTTACGCCATGCGCTACCTGAGCTGGACCTCTCTGCATATCAAGCCGTGGTGTGCTTTGTCATGCCGCAATGCTGTCACCGTGCTGTCATGCTGCCCTCCTGCCATACTATGCATCCCTCACCTCTGCCTCTCCCCCCCCCCCCCCCCCCCCCCCCCCGTGCTACGCTGCACTGCCTGCCTGCAGGGATCTGAGCTTCAACTCCCTCTCTGGCTCGCTGCCCGTATATCTAGCCAAGCTCACTGGACTCGATACCTTGTCAGTCCCTGCTCCAACTCCCTCTCTACCTCGCTGCCCGTATATCTCACCGGACTCGATACCTTGTCAGTCCCTGTGCCACCGCCTGCTTCTGTTGCCACCGCCTGCTCCTCTTGCCCCTGCTGCCCCTGTTGGCAACAGGGGAACACATGCACTTTCAAGTGCACGAACGCACACACGCTTATCCATGCTCAAGTCTCCCGACACCTCTGTCCCAAGGTATAATCCACTGTTCACTCCCGCGATTCCACTGCTCCTATGACACCGCTCTTCCCCATATGTCCTCCCCCCCCTGTGGCTCCTTCCAGAGACCTCTCCCACAACCAGCTCTCAGGGTCGCTTCCAGGAGAACTTCTCCCCACCAACCTCAGACGCCTGTCAGTCTCTCACCCTCTCTGCCTCTCTGCCTCGGTCTGTCAGTCAGTCTGTCTGTCAGCCTGTCTGTCTGTCTGTCTGTCTGTCTGTCTGTCTGTCTGTCTGTCTGTCTGTCTGTCTGTCTGTCTGTCTGTCTGTCTGTCTGTCTGTCTGTCTGTCTGTCTGTCTGTCTGTCTGTCTGTCTGTCTCACTGTCTGTCGTCCATTCTGTGGGTCTGCAGTGCTACTACACTGAGTAGACTACAGTGAGTCCACAACAGTACACCTTCCCCCCTTCCAACCACCACCTGTGCATACCTTCTACTAACGCATGCACCTCTCAGTTTGCTGCCCCACAATCCTCCATGTACTATCCTCCTTTCACTATCTATCTTCCTTCCCTAATCCTATCCCCCCTCCCACCCGTCCACCTCGCACCCACCACAGGGACCTGTGCTGCACTGAAATCTCAGGGACAATCCCCAACACCATAGGGGGGTTGCTGCAGCTGGAACATCTGTGAGTGGATGGAGGGGAGGAGGAAAAAAGGGTAAGGGAGGTGGCTTGTGGAGGGGAGGGCTCACCTTGTGCATCCTAGTTCGGGTTTTCGCTCCACTGAAAAAAAAAAAAAAAAAAAAAAAACAAACAAACAAACAAACAAACAAACAAACAAACAAACAGACAGACGGACGGACGGACGGACGGACGGACGGACGGACGGACGGACGGACAGACAGACAGACAGACAGACAGACAGACAGACAAACAAACAGACAAACAGAGAATATTTCTGAAAATAAAAAATTTGGGAAAGAAACTCTGAAGTGGAGAACTTTAAATTGAAGCATCACAACGAAAAGCAGACTAGTGGAGGCATGAGGTATCTCTCTCTCACGCCCAGCTCTGCTTCCCCCTCCCTCTCCTCTCTACCACACCCACCCCACAGGGAACTAAGCTCCAACCGCTTCAGTGGCTCTATACCCACTGAAATGACAGCGCTCATTCAACTCACGCTCCTGTACGTCACACTCTTCCACTCCTCCTCCTCCCATGCTCTTTCCATCCATGCCCTTCCCCAGCCACCATTCACATTCACCATCGCGTCCTTTCCACCTCCGTGCATATTCATATGCAAGCACGCACCAATCCACAAACACAAACTCACTTGCTTAAGCCCATCGAATCACGTCATTTCGCATCCCATCTCCCTCTCTTCCCCACACCCAACCACCCATCACCACCCTCCTCCCCATCCCCATCCCCATCCCCATCCCCATCCCCATCCCCACCGCCACGCAGCAACCTGCGCAGCAACCAGCTAACAGGAGCCGTGCTGCAGCCCATCCCCCACGGCATGCAGCAGTACCAGCTCGACAACAACTACTTCTCCTCCGCCTTCCCCTTCCAGCCGCCCTGCCCCGCCGGCACCATCATAACCACGCGCAGCAACTGCGCAGTGGGCAAGGATGGGACCCCCACGCCCACTTTCTCGTGCCCGGAGGGATTAGATGCGCAGCGGCGGGCGGAGGTGTGCCGGGCGTTCTGCGGGCTGACGAATGATAGCTTGCCGTGTGGCGGGCATGGTGTTTGCTTCTTTGACGGGCCCAACCGCGTGCCCACGTGCGCGTGCGATAAAGGGTTCACGAACGGCGGCGTGCCGGGGTCGTGCGTGCCTGATGATGGTGCGTACAGGTGTGTGCAGTGTGGTGCGGTGCGGTGGTATGATGTGCGGTGGTAGTGCTACGGAGTGCTGTGCGGTGGTGAGCACTGTGGTGCTGTGCTGTGATGTGGTGTTCAGTGGTGTCAGGCAACATGGGTGCAGTGCAGCGTTTTAGCAGTGGTGATTCAATTGGGGAATAGGACCCATGTTGGACCTGTCATTGCTGTCAGCTCATCAGTCCCTGATGAAGCAAGTCATGGCATCTCAGCCATTGCCAGTTTAATCCATAGCATTCACAGCTCTGCTCCCCTTATTTACATCTTCCTTCTCTTCTCCCCTCCGTCCCTTCCCTGCCCTTTCCTTCCCGGCCCTGCCCTGCCTGCCCGTCCTCCTCGCCTTGCCCGTCGTCCCAGGCTCTCTCCCGTTCATCAACACCACAGACTCCTCCCCACCGACCGCGCTCTCTCTCAGCGGCTCCGCCTCCCTCCTCCCCGCCGCCTCCATCCTCCTTTCCCCAGCCCAGCCCACCAACTGGGGTGCCGCCTTCCTCCCCCAGCCCATCCGCCTCTTCTCCTTCGCACTCCTCTCCTCCTCCTCCTGTGGTCGCTCCCTCCCCTTCTCCACCTCCTTTGCCTTCACCATCGCTGCTTCTGACCCGTCATCTTCTTCTGCTAATGCATTCGCTTCTCTGGCGTTCATTGTCTCTGCAACCGGTGCTGTTGCGGGAGGCACAAGTAGTGGGTCGTACCTGCCTGTGTCTGAGAAAAGCATCGCGGTGGTGTTAACTGCTGCTCCTGCAAGTGCCAGCAAGCCAAACGGCACTGTTTCCATCCAAGCCAAAAGCTCCAGCAGCAGCTTCACCTCCATAGCCACAGCCACCGCCCCCACGCCTCTGAACGACGGCACTCCAAAGTACGCCTGGATAGACTACACCCCTTCCTCCTCTTCCGCCGCTGCTTCCGCTGCCACTACTGCTGCTGCTGCTGGCACCCTGCGCCTCTTCCTCTCCTCCAGACCCTCCCCACGCCCGTCCAAGCCTGTGCTGTCAGCGCGTATCTCTCTGTGCGCGCTGCTCAAGCCCACCGAGAGCGCCTCTTCTTTCTTCCTCGGCTTCGCTGCTGCCTCGGACAACCCCCCGCTGAAGCTCACACTGCTGCAGTGGAGCGTTGCTGCAGGTGATGGGCTTTGTGGGGGGGGGGAGTGGGTGGGGTGGCGAGGGGTGGGAGGGGAAGAGAGCTGGGTCGGGGAGTGAGGGGTGGGTGTTCGGGGGGGGTGACAGAGCGAATGAGGGAGAGAAGAGAACGGAGAGGCAGAAGTGGTGGATGGATTTCAGTGCCTCTGTTCTGTGGTGGGCATGGGGATGAGATGTAAGGCGTTTTAGCAGTGGGGAGGCGAGAGTTGGAAAGACGTGTTTTCTGGTGGTTTAAGAAAACAATGTTTGTTTGGTTTCTCCAATTCTCTCCCCCCCCACACCCGTGCAGGCCTCCAGAGCACACCAGTTGATGACTCAGGTAACAGAACACAACTCCCCTCGCCCTCCCCTCCCCTCCACCCTCTCCTCCTCTTTTCCTCCCCTCTCCCCATCCCCTCCCCTCCTCCTCCCTCGTCTCCCCCCATCTCCTCCTCCCTCTCCTCCTTCTCCTTCTCCTTTTCCTCCTTCCACTCCTCCCTCTCAGCCATTTTCATCCATTCTCCATCCATTCACAGTCCCACCCACCGTTGCCACGCGCAACACTGTCACAACCACCTCCATCCATCCTTCATCACCCTCTCCCTTTGCATACACCCCCACCACAACACACCCACTCCCTCTCCCTGTCCTCTATCCCGCTCCACCTCGCCCACATCCCTGCAGCCTTCCCACTGGGCTTCACGCTCTCAGACGACTCCCTCTCCCCGCCCAACGTCAACCCCTTCTTCCGCTACGCCAGCGCCGGCGTGCTGCCCCTGCACCCCACAGGAAGCAGCAGCAGCAGCAGCAGCAGCAGTTCCGGCACGAGCGATTCCCAAGAAGCAGAGCCGGAGCAAGCATGGCTAGTCTCCCCGTGGTCCTCCTGGTTCCGTCCCGACCTGCGCTGGCCCGTGAGGCAGCAGGAGGCCTGCTGGGCGTACGCGGTGGTGGGAAGCATAGAAGCTGCCTACAGCATTCTGGCAAACCTCTCAGTGGCGCCGCAGCTGTCAGCGCTGCAGCTGCGCTCCTCCATGCGCGCCGACTGCCAGGGCGGCTCGCCCTCCCAGGCCTTCTCCTTCCTCCTCAAAGCCGCCCGCTCCGGGAAGGGCGTGGGAGGGCTTGTGGAGGAGAAGGGACCTGTGGTGGCGGTGAGAGGAAAGGGAGAGGGGAAGGGGAAATCGGCTGGGAGGAGGCTGCAGGGAGCAGGCAGAAGAGGGGAGGTGTGGGGTATGGGGGGTAGTGACGGTATGGTGCGTGCGATGGGGGAGCATGGACTTGATGCAGCTGTGTCTGTAAGAGAGGAAGATGCAGCAGGAACAGGGGCAGCAGCAGCAGCAGTTGCAGAGGGAACAGCAGTAGCAGCAACAGCAGCAGCAGCAGGAGGAGGAGAGGGGGCACGGAGGCAGCTGGCGGGAGGGGCGGGCAGTGGGCTGTGTGCGCCTGTGTTTGCAGTGCTGAGGAAGCTGCTTGGCATCACGTGCAAGAGCGGTGTGCCTGTGAGTGCTCCCCACGCGTGCATTTGTTTGGGAGGGGGCGGGGTTGGGGGGCAGGAAAGGGGAGGACGGGAGGAGGAATGGATAGGGGGGGTGGTGTGACCGTATGAGAGTGTGCGTGCACATGCATGCTGCTGGTCTTGCTGCATGCGCTCACTCCCAGCACTCACATCACAACCCTTCCTCTTCCACATTGTTTGTGTCTCAGTCCCACATGCCACGTGTCTCCCTCCCACATGCCTCGTCCATCCACCTCTCATCCCACGTGCCACTCATTCCCACCCCTGCTGTGAAGATGGAGACAAGGAAGAAGGGGTTTCAGATTAGCGGCTTTGAGGTGACTTTTCAGTCGACTCACGAGCCTATCCGCCTCGCATGCCATGTGTTCCCACCCCTGCCATGCCATGCAGATGGAGACAAGGAAGAAGGGGTTTCAGATCAGTGGTTTTGAGCGCACGTCCTTCTACGGCTGGTTTGGGCTGCTGCTGGCCGTGCAGCGGCAGCCAGTGGTGGTGCACATAGAGGCGTCTGCAGAGTCGTTCAAGCAGTATGACGGGGTGAGTGGACGCATGGGGTGAGTGGACGCATGGTGTGAGTGGACGCATGGGGTGAGTGGACGCATGGTGTGAGTGGACGCATGGGGTGAGTGGACGCATGGGGTGAGTGGACGCATGGGGTGAGTGGACGCATGGGGTGAGTGGACGCATGGGGTGAGTGGACGCATGGGGTGAGTGGACGCATGGGGTGAGTGGACGCATGGGGTGAGTGGACGCATGGGGTGAGTGGACGCATGGGGTGAGTGGACGCATGGGGTGAGTGGACGCATGGGGTGAGTGGACGCATGGGGTGAGTGGACGCATGGGGTGAGTGGACGCATGGGGTGAGTGGACGCATGGGGTGAGTGGACGCATGGGGTGAGTGGACGCATGGGGTGAGTGGACGCATGGGGTGAGTGGACGCATGGGGTGAGTGGACGCACGGGGTGAGTGGACGCATGGGGTGAGTGGACGCATGGGGTGAGTGGACGCATGGGGTGAGTGGACGCATGGGGTGAGTGGACGCATGGGGTGAGTGAACGCATGGGGCGAGCGAATGCATGGGGCGAGTGAATGCATGGGGTGTGGTGGGGAGCGACAAATGAGTGGTTTTGAGCAATGGTAATGGATGATGGTGTTACTCTCTGTTCAAGTACCACAACCCCACGCGGTACCTTTGACCTCTTTGCATGTCGCAACTTGTACCTTGCCTCGTTCTGAATGCCCCAAGCCAAAACCTCTTGCTGTGCCCATTTCCTCCCCAGCTGCCCAAGTGCCTCTGCATCTTTGTCTCCCTGCATCTCTGCATCTCTGTGTCTCTGTGTCTCTGCATCTCTGTGTCTCTGTGTCTCTGTCACCCTGCCTCTCATCCTCGCTCACGCCAGCTGTCCAAGTACCAGGACCCAGCGTGCTTCACGTACAACCTGAACCACGTGGTGCTGCTGGTGGGGTACCGCCTGGTGGGTCTCGATGACACTGCTCCACACATGGCGCCGCCCTTCTGGATCATTCGCAACTCGTGGGGGCCTGACTGGGGCGATGGGGGCCACATGCGCATGGACATCCAGGGGGGGGATGGCGTGTGCGGCATCAACTCGCTGCCGGGCCTCTACCCTGTCGTCAAGTGTGAGTTGATTGCAACTGAACCGAGTCAAGTCGATTGGAATCAACCCCTCAGTCCACTCCAACTCCCAGTCCACCTCCATTAAATGAGAATGCCCATCCACTCCTGTGTTACATACATGCCATGCCACTCTCTTACTCTTCCGCCGTCCATTCTTTCCTGTGATACTCTCACTCCTAGCTTCGCATAGCACCCTTGCCTCCTCCTCTGAACGCACAGCTTCTTCTCCCCACCCAGCCCAACCCCACCCACACCCATGTTTTGAGTCGACTCAAAACGCATCTCGTAGCACCCTTCTCTCCTCCCCTATGCGCACAGCTTCTTCTCCCTCCCCACCCGACCCACCCACACCCGCACCCCTTGTGAATCCCCAGCGCCGCACGACCCGTGCAGCAAGCAGGCGCGCAGGGGGGCACTGGGGCCGGTGCTGAACCCGTGCGGCAACTTCACATGCCGCGTGCAGGGCGCCACCAACCGCTGCGACTGCACCGACCCCCGCTTCATTGAGGCACTCAATGGCGACGGCTCACGCACATGCACCTATGGTGAGGGCGAGGGGGGTTGTTGTGGTGAGGACACGTGGTGTTAGTGAGCCCACGCTGCGACTGCACCGACCCCCGCTCTGTTGAGGCGCTCAATGGCGACGGCTCACGCACATGCGCCTATGGTGAGGGCGAGGGGGGTTGTTGTGGTGAGGACACGTGGTGTTAGTGAGCCCACGCTGCGACTGCACCGACCCCCGCTCTGTTGAGGCGCTCAATGGCGACGGCTCACGCACATGCGCCTATGGTGAGGGCGAGGGGGGTTGTTGTGGTGAGGACACGTGGTGTTAGTGAGCCCACGCTGCGACTGCACCGACCCCCGCTCTGTTGAGGCGCTCAATGGCGACGGCTCACGCACATGCGCCTATGGTGAGGGCGAGGGGGTGGAGGGGGAGGGAGTGGAGGAATCATGGTGAGGGCATGTCACATGTGCTGTTAGTGAGTCTGTGCTCGTGTTTCTGCGCTGAGTCTGCACTGATGCCCGTTAGGGCAGGCGAGTGGGGGCGAGCGCAGGCGAGGGGGGTTGCGGTGAGGACACGTGCTGTTAGTGAGCCCGTTTGCTTATCCCGTGCCTGATGTCCTTCTGAAGTTCATCCCTCTTCTTGAAAGTCCTCGCTGCTGTAAGCCTGCTTGAACTTATGTTTTCCTCTTCCACTGCTCTCCCAGCCCAGCCGCCTCTGCAGCTGCTGCTACCACTGTATATGCGTCCTGTTGAACTACTTTTTCTTTTATGTTCTCCTGCAGTGGACGTGTGCAGGGCATCGTTCCGCAACCCGTGTGCGGTGGGCACGTGTGTGAATGACGGGGCGGGGTCGTACTCGTGTGTGTGTCCACCGGGCTCCAGGCAGGGCACCACCGTCGATGGCACCTTCTCCTGTGCTCCAGGTACCTTCTCCTGTGCTCCAGGTACCTTCTCCTGTGCTCCAGGTACCTTCTCCTGCGCTCCAGGTACCTTCTCCTGTGCTCCAGGTACCTTCTCCTGTGTCTCACTCTTCTCCTGCCCTCTGCACCTGTCACATCTAGTCCCCTCTGCCTCATTCGCTCCTTCTCCCGCACGCCCCATGCTCTTCTGTTTTCCCCGGTAATTCACTGCCCCTCTCCCCCCTCCACCCCTCCCACCTCCCCCAGGTGACACAGATGGCACCTACACGGTTCTCTCCCTCGGCCTCACCTGTGCCGCCATCCACCCCGTCTGCGGCCTCACTCTACCGCAGTTCACCGCACAGAACCTGGTACCACCGCACTCTCTTGTCGTTCTGCAGCTGCCAACTGATCTCTCCTCGGCCTTGACTGGACCATGTGCTCCCTCGTGCGCCCTTGCCCCATCAACCCTTCTCTCCGCATCCATGTCTCACCCTCCTCTCTATCCACCTGACCTCATCGCCCTTGTCTCCCGAGGTCCATGTCTGATACTCTTCCTTTTCGATTCCTCTCCTCTCCTCTCCTCTCCTCTTCTCTCCTCTCCTCTCCTCTCCTCTCCTCTCCTCTCCTCTCCTCTCCTCTCCTCTCCTCTCCTCTCCTCTCCTCTCCTCTCCACTCATCTCCTCTCCTCTCATCCTTTCCTCCCTCCCCTCCGCCCCACACCTGCCCCTGCCAGCAAGTGGATTGCAATGTGCCCTTACCTTTGAGCACGCACCTCAACGTCACACCGCCCAATGGCCTCGCCCCGTGCTCTGTCTTTTACACCACCGACCAGGTGCGCCCCTGCACCTTCTCCTTCTCTCACACTCTTACTTTGCAGCACAGGGGGAATGTGCTGACTCTTCAGGCGATTTTGGCGATTTTGTAGGCGTCTCAGAACTGGGTCGGTTGTTTAGATCCCTCAGAAATCACTGTGTTCGCTGCTGCACAATCTCTTGCCGTCACACTCGTACCGAATGCCACGCCCCTGTCAGTTGTCATGTCCTTGTGTTCGCGCGTGTGCTTGCGCTCTTGCTTCATGGCTGTCACCGCGTGTACTCTCAGCCGCATGAGGGCATGAGTCACGACTCACCAGGGAGAGGGATGCATGTGGGCATCCAGTCACATCCACATTCCCCCGTGACCCGTCTACCTCCCTGTACTATCTCTCTCCCCAACCCCCCCCCCCTTACCCCCCCACCCCTACGTCCACCTCTCACAGGGCGACACGTGTGCATCGCTGGCAGCCTACTTCCAGCTCAGCAAGAGCTGCAATCCCACCGGCACCCCCTGTGTGGAAGCCCTGCTCGCACTCAACCCAGGTCTCAACTGCACCGCCCTGGACAGTGCGGGTGCTGCTGCTTCTGGTGCTGCTGGTGGTGGGGGGGGCGGGAATGGGAATGGGGATGGGGGTGGGGGTGGGTTACAGCCGAACCAGGTGGTGTGTGTGGAGCGGCGGGGAGCGAGAGAGGGCGAGGGGCAGGTGATACCGGTGTGCTCGCAGTACTATCTGGTGCAGAGCGCTGAGACGTGCGAGTCCATACGCAGTGTGCCCTCCCCGCCGCTCTCCCCGCTCGAGTTCTTCCGCCTCAACCCCGGCATGCGCTGCTCGCGCCTCGTCCCCAGGACCTCTGCAGACAGCTTCACTGGGTTCGAGGTGCGCGCTACTGCCTTGCCTAACCTGCTTACTTGCATGCTTTCCTTCTTGCTCCAGGATTTCCCCCTATTGTCATGGGACGGCCGGTCATTAGACTATTCCTTGTCCCTTTCGGTTGCTGTGCTTCCGAATTCTTTCTGCCGCCCTGCCTAACCTCTCCCATTATCCAGGCATGTATACAAAGCCAGACGAGCTACACTGCTGGGAGCTGCCCTCTTTCTAACTTCTATATGGTTACCAACAGTGATCGGTGCAGCATGGTTCAAGTGAAGTATTTCCGAGGCATCAAAGGGTGCTACAAGAAAATTAACGGCTACGATTGTCTGGACAGATTAAAGCAAGGGACTCGCATATGTTTGCCGAATAAAAACAAGATGAAGAATGGCAAATGTAGCATCTGAATGCGTGCTCATGTTTTATACGTATATGTAGTGCAAAACTGCATTATGCTAAGAGAATGTCATACACCCAGCCTCCTATCGCGAGAAGCAGGAGATTGTAATTCTTTCACGTTACCATTTGTATCGAATCCGACCACATTCGCATTGCACCACGCAAGTGAGGGTCTGCAAACAACTATGTGTATGCTGATCCTAGCGCATGAAGCGCGTGTAACTAGTTTCTACCGTCTCGACTCACCAGCGTGTCGGCACCCCTCCCCATGCTCCTCCGTCTCTAGTCGTATTTGAGAATCCGCAACAGGTCCCGATGCAGGGGTCCGCGTCTCGTCGTGCCCGCCAGCCTGCACTCTCGGCGTCCGCGCCGCTCTCCTTCCTCGCGCGTTTCTTCTCGCTCTTCCCCTCCTTCCGCCGCAACCCCGTGCGCCACTCGCTCATCCTGCTCGGCGCGCTTCTCCTCCTCGCGCGCCACCTCGCGCACCGCACCTCCCCCCACGCGCGCAAGCTGCAGGCGCATCTCTCCTTCAACCGCCAAACTTCCGCAACCACCGCTACCGCCGGCGGAACCGCTACCGCTTTCAGCGCTGTCGGCGGCGGTTTGAATTCCGGAAGCTCCGCAGATTCCGCAAATGACGGGGACCCAGAAACTCGGAGGAAGCGCGGAAGCGCGGGGACCGATGGTGCGGGGAACGGGGCTGGCGGCGGGGTGGGGGAAGCGGGGGGAGCGGGGGGCGCGGAGGGCGCGGGGGAGGTGCGGCTGTGGAATGGCGTGATGATGCCGCGGTTGGGGTTCGGGACGGCGGGGCTGGGGGAGGAGACAGAGAAGGCTGTGGGGTGGGCGCTGGAGGCCGGGTACAGGTGAGCGCAGGCAGCGATGGGGTTGGGTTGAGGGGCAGCAGACAGACGGTTTCTGAATCGGCTCAAAGAAAGTTGCAGACGAGAGACGGGCGAGGTAAGGAGAGAGGCATGTGCGTGCGGGCGGGCTGTGTGCCTGTGTTTGTGTCACATTTGAGACTTCTTCAATGTCCCCTCACCCTCTCCCGGTGCTGCGTGGCTCATCTCTCGTTGCCTCTGGTATTTCACTCCCTCCCCTTTCCCCTTTTCTTCCCCCCCCCCCCCCCCCCCCCCGGCGCTTATGCTCCCACTCCCATGCATGTCTTGCTGTGGTGCTGGTGGTGCAGGCTGTTTGACTCGGCGCAAGCGCGTGAGTGGTACCGAGAGGACGCGGTGGGAGCAGCCATTGCACGGCACAACGTGTCCCGCAACCAACTCTTCCTCGTCTCCAAGGTGGGCTGCTGCTGCTGCTTTCGCACCGCACCCACCTGCCTGCCACCCCACCCCTCAGCTGCATCCACCGCACCACCACTCTCCCTCCTGTTGTCCCACGCTCCCGTATCCTACCCACCCCTCCTCGCTCCGCCCTTCCCATGCACACACACACACACACACACACACACACACACACACACACACACAGTCTCCTCCTTACCCCGCCCTCCACTTTTGAGGCGCCTCAACTGTATCCACTCCCAAGCTGCACCCGCAACACCATGGTTACGCGATCAGAGTCGACTCAAACGCCACTTTGTCTCACTATTACTGCATCCTCCCCCGTGCGGGAGCAACTTCTGAGTCGACTCACGTGCTTATCCGCCACCTCTCCCCCCTCCCTCCCACACCCCCTCCGCAGCTGCACCCGCGGCACCACGGGCACGCCATCACGCGGGAGCGTTTCTCCGACTCGCTACGTGACCTCCGCGTGCCCTTCCTCGACCTCTTCCTCCTGCACTACCCCTTCTGCTTCCCCGCCATCTGCGGGGACGCAGGGGCAGCGGCGGCGGCAGGTGCGGGGTGGCTGGACAGCTGGCGGGCGCTGGAGGAGTTGTATCAAAGGGGAGCGGTGCGGGCGATAGGCGTGAGCAACTTTGGGCGCGACGAGCTGCTGGAGCTTATTGCACAGGCGGAGGTGAAACCACATGTGCTGCAGAGGTGAGGAGTGGGGATGGGGAGTGGGGAGTGGGGAGTTGGGAGTGGGGGGAGTGTAGAACGGGGAGTGGGGCAGGGGGGAGTGATGAATGGGGGAGTGGCGAGTTAAGGATGGAGCCTGGGTGGTCAGAGAAATCGTCATGTTTTCGTTTGGCACATAACTGCCTCCCTTGGCTGCATTGTCCTGCCCATCCCTTCTTCCCATCACTGCGTCCCAGGAACTCCGACCCCCTACGAGCAGACAAAGACCTGCAGGTTCTCTGTGCGCAGAACACAGAATCCCTTACATGGCGTACTCATCCCTGCCCTCTCACCACCACCTCTTCTCCCCCTTATCCCATCACCCACCCCCCAAACACCCTCCCATTCCCAGGAACTCCGACCCGCTGCGAGCAGACAAAGACCTGCAATCACTCTGTGCGCAGCATGGCATCGCGTACATGGCCTACTCCTCCCTGGGCTCCCAGCACCTGATCTTCTCCGACTCGCCCTCCCACAACCCTGTCCTGGACCACCCGGTCATCACCGCCATTGCTGCTCGCCGTGCCTGCTCGCCCGCACAGGTGGTGCTTAAGTGGGGGTTGCTGAAGGGGCAGGTGGTGATCCCGAGGTCGCGCAATAGAGAGCATATACGGGAGAATCTTGACGCGTGGCTGTGCGGGTTGGGGATGGGTGATGTGGCGGAGATTGATAGGCTGGATGGGACGGAGTGAGGGGGTGTGTTGGAGTGGGTGGGGAGTGGGCGGGTAATGGGTGGGTTATGGTGGGCAGAGTGTAGGGAGTGGAGTCAGGCACCTCACTCTGTCACCTCACCTCACTCACACCATGATTTTTTGTTGTGAACCAGTGTCATATCGCAGTAAAGTACACCGTAGCATCATGTACACTATTCCGCTTTATCTCTAGACCAAATACCCATGTCGTGGGTTGGTGCATGTGAGAGAGTCAAGAAACTGAAGGCGTTCTGCGAGGTAGTGCTGTCGCGACGCGAGGAATTTCAGAGATTTACTTCCCGCCTTCCCGAAAAGTCCCCAACGGCTACTTCACCGAACCGCATCACAATCTCGATGGTATCTGACAGCATTGATGGATGGACATCCTCCTTCGCTGGTTGAGCTTGACATCCTCCTCAACGTAAATCACGGAATCAGACACTGCGGCGACCAGCTTAGAAACCAGGAGTAGCTTCTGTGAATTGGTCTAGCTTTTTCTGGCAGCCATTCTCGTGAATAGCTTCTAGCTCTTGCAGAAATGCGTGCGGACTTTAGCCGACCTAGAAACCATGAATTCTCGTGCGCACATCAACAGACTGTCTGACGACCTACTTATTAGGATACTATGGCGTACCTCCCAAACACCGGTATCCACTGCATTCGACGGTGATGCTACATACGACGATGCTACATGCGACGATTCTACGAGCGACAATGCTACATGCGACTCTTTATGTCCGAGCCAGAAATACTTCTGGACTAAAGATCCACCAGAGTACTCGAGCGATAATGAGGGGAACTCTTTCGTACCGACTCCTCCTGCCTTCACCGACGCAGCTCTTAGTCTCCTCATCGCTTCCGTCTGCCGTCGCTGGCGCCGTCTCTCCCAGCGTTACGTCTCGACGCTTCTCGTTAGGGAAAATCTCGCCGTTTCCCGCCAAGTCCTCGCCAACGCCGTCTCATGCTTCCCGAACCTCACCCACCTTCATCTGTGTGACGGCAGCGTGGAAACTTTAGACAACGCCTTTCTCTCTCACCTCGCCTCGTCTTGCCCTCGGCTAACGATTCTTCACGTGGGAAGCAGGATCACTAAAGATGCGGAAATCCAGGAAAGCAAGCACTTACACCCGGTTACCGAAGCCGGCTTGGATCAGCTCTTTCAGGGATGCACGCAGCTGGAGGTTATCTCATTCGACCGCCTTGGATCGGCTCTTCACCCGAACATCGTATTCCGGGCTTCGTTCTTCCAGCTCTCGCGGCTCCACACTCTCGTTCTCCCGGACGCGTCAACGCTGACCAATCCTGGCTTGTCGAACCTTTCGTCTCTCAGCTCGATCCGCTTAACCTCTCTGAACCTGATCTTTCACCATCTTGTGCATCTCGCTCAGCTGCCAAGGCTTACCAGCCTGGCCATCAGCTACGACCCTGAGGTAGAGGAACCAAGGGGGACGTTTTCCGTCTCGCAGCTGCCGTTTCTCAAGTCGCTGCAGCTCGAGGGAGAGGTTTCTCCGTTCATCTTGTTTCTTCCCTCGGGATTGCCGTGCTCCAGGCTGGAACGGCTGGTGATTGCGGGTTCCCACTTCCTTGATCGGCTTCCGGACGACCTTGGAGAGATTTTGCCGTGTCTCCGCGAGCTGACCCTTAGCTGGTGCACAGGACTCACGCACCTGCCCAGAAATTTCACATCTCTGACGCAGTTGGAGAGCCTGAAAATCTCCTCGTGCCTCCGGTTCTCCAGCCTGCCCGACAACTTTGGCCGCTTATCTGCCCTAAAAAGATTGGTGCTGCGCGATTTGCCACTAACAAACCTCCCTGACTCTTTCGGGCGTCTCGAATCCCTGGAGACATTTACCATGTACATGCTTTCCCTCACGGAGCTTCCTGAATCCTTCGCCTATCTGACATCTTTAAAGACCCTGCTCGTGGTTTGCTGCCGCGAATTCTGCCAGCTTCCAGCGAATTTCGGTCGACTGGGAGCTCTCAAGACGCTGTGCATGGTGAAGCTGCCGCTACTGAGTCTTCCCGAGGGCTTGGAGGGAATGGCTGCCATCCAGAGAATTTTCCCAGATGTTGAGTTCAACCCGCTTCAACTCCCGGGTTCACTCACCGAGTTGACCTCGTTGACCCGGCTTGACCTGGATCTTCTTTCAGAGGCGAAGCTTCCCGAGGGGATTGGAAAACTGAATCAGTTGCGGCAGCTGAACATCCACTGCTGCTTCAATCTCAGGGAGATTCCAGAATCCGTGACAGGGCTGACTAATCTGGATACGCTCACCATTGGGATGTGCAGCGAGCTCGTGTCAATTCCTAAGAAGCTGGATACCCTTGTAAAGCTCAGACGGCTGGAGCTGACCGGATGTCACCCTGCCATCTGGCTGAACGGACCGCCTGTCTCTCTACCTTCGTCTCTTGAGTCCCTGAGCCTCGGGAGCTACAATCAGTCCATTTTCATGCCGAACCTCCACTTGCTGCGGAATCTCAAGAAGCTGACGTTGAATCTGGTAAACGTTGAGGGTGGGGAAGCCGATGTGTCTGGGCCCAGCACATTCCCCCGGTTAGTGCATCTGGAGTTGGTGTTGGCGGAAGATGCGGAGGAGCTCGCATTCCCCTTGGGTTCTCTCCCCCAGCTGCGGATTCTGGTGATCTCCAGGGCTGGTAACATCGAGAAGCTTCCAGGAAGCATCGGCACGGATCTGAAGCAGCTCCGGCGTTTGCAGATAGAGAATGCTCCAGAGTTGATAGTGCTGCCGGAAACGATCTCTCAGCTTCGCCACCTGACCTCCTTGGACGTTCATGCTCCAAAGCTCACTTCCCTTCCGGCCAGCATCGGTGCATTATCCAGGCTAAGGGAGCTCGATCTCTCTGACTGCTCTGCCCTGGAAAATCTCCCTGCTTCTCTCACACAACTCGCCTGCCTGAACAAGCTGAATCTGGAAAACACTGGCATCCTCTCGCTTCCAGGAAACTTCGCGCAGCTGACCCGGCTCAAGAGCCTGGACCTGTACGGATGCACGAGATTGGAGAGCCTGCCAGAAGATTTTTCTGGTCTCGACCTGCTGCAGTTTCTGAGGTTCGGTGGGTGCACGGATGAACTGAACAGTGAACGAGAACGGGAGATAAGGAATTGTGGCATGTATGGGGTAACAATTAAACAGTATTAGTTGTGCATGTATGGCTTGGTTGTCCGATGTTAGTATTCTATGCACAGCATGCATGAGGTGCTTGTTGCTGGGCACCTTGCATTGGGAGGTACCGTATTGGGTGTGCAATTGTGCTACAATGGACTAGTGGATGAGAAGGGGCTTGGATGAATGCATTGATGCCTTGGCAACTTGAAATGCTATTGTGGGTCAGTGCGTTAGGTTCTGAAACTTGCTGGACAGAGAACGCAGTGGGGTTATCTTGTTTTGTAGTACCGCACACTAAAATCTACATGAATCTATTGCGATGCGAAGACATTGTGTCTCAAGGGGGGCGCAATAAAACCCATAACAGCAACAAAACCGGAAACGACACACAGCTTCATGGGTGACAGCAGAAACGTGCCACCACTAATCCAACAGCCCTCCTGTACAGTTCAAATCAAGAGGAGGACTCATCCAGTCAGCTCTCCCAACCCACCTTTGTCAGTCTGCTTCCCTCCCAGTCTCTAAGAAGACAAGTGGTAACCCGAAAACAGAGGGCAAGCCAAGCCCTTGATGAAGGACAATTGGGGCGCCTCGAAAGCCGACTTTGGAGACGATTCAAAACTCCCGGTCTCCCACACGATGCGATCAGAAGACAGAGGGGAAGCCCTTCTGCTGCCAGGCTGCAAAGCCCCCGAGCATGTCTGTGATGCCCGAGAAGCCCTGTGGGGGTTGGCGGGCACAGGGAGCAGCGTGGGGAGGAGGAAGAGGTGGGAAGGGAAGTGTGGAAAACGGGACCAACGACGGCTGAGAGTCGGAAGGTTTGAAGAGCAGAGCAAGGATTGGATATCGTTTGAAGCAAATTTGGGCCGTTTTGGAGTGTAGCCTCTTCCATGCACGATGGCTGTGATGGCTGTGATACACTGGAGTAACACCCCAGGGGCAGCAGGGAAAAAAAGCACGAAAAAAACGGCAAGAGGGAACAGTAATTGGGGGAAGTCAAAGAGCGGTTGAAGGGAGATGGTGGATGGGGGAGGTTAAGGCCCTCACCGCATTCTGCAGCTCTGCAGCAGCCCGGATGGATCGCACTCCTCCCTGACAGGCCTGCTCGCATCACAGCACGTGGCAGCAGATGGGGCAGCACACATGACGGACGAGAAGTGACGCAACAGATTTGGATCCTCTGGAATAGAAATGGAGTGGAAAAGGCTTTAAAGCAGTCACGGCAGCAGGAAGGAGTGCTGAGGCATGCATGAGAGCAAGCAGTGCAGCGTTGGAGGTGCAACAGACATGATAGAGGTTGGGAGTGAGAAGAGCAATGAATGGCGTTTGGGTGCACATGGGGGGTGAGGAAGCAGCAGAACGATGCTGTGACAGGCACGTGGCGAAGTGTGTGGCATGGCACGGCACGGCACGGCATGGCATGGCATGGCATGGCATGGCACGGAACAGCACGGCACGGTACGGTATGGTATCGTATGGTATCGTATGGTTATGGTACGGCATGGCAAGGCATGGCATGGCATGATCGCGCATGGTACTCCACGGTATGCTATGCTACTCAAAGCTATGGTCATGATATTGCATGGCATGGCATGGCATGGCATGGCATGGCATGGCATGGCGGTTACCACGACGAGTGGTGTGTCCTCATCGAACTGTGCCTTGACGTCAGCGATAAAGGCATCGTTCTTCACCATGCCTGCACGCACCCATGGCACGATGGTGGAGATTGAGTGATGGCAGAGATGGCGCAATGGCAGACATAGCGCGACACTCGACAAATGGCATGGTGGGACAGGGCATCGGAAGATGATGCGGGGCTGACGTGGATGAAATTTCCCACAATCCAAAGACACGAAATGAATGGATGGATGGATGGATGACAGTAACTGGGTAAAGAGAGGCATGGAGGGAAGGTGACATGGAGGCACAGTGTTATGGCATGCACGGCAGACAGACAGACCCGAGGGCGACTTGAGCATGAAGGGGATGTTCACTGATCCCTCCACGTGTGATGCCCGGAACTCCTCTGGCGTTCTGATGGATGGGCGAGCATGGCAACGCATGGCATGGCAAGGCATGGCATGGAATGAGTCAGGAGTCAGGAGCGGGGAGAAGGGGTTGAGGCATTTCATTCAAGTCAGATGAACGCTGTTCTCCTCCCTCTGTTTCTCACGAGAAACGAGCTCACACGCACAAACCTCACACGCACAAGCCTCACACGCACAAGCCTCACACGCACAAGCCTCACACGCACATGCCTCACACGCACAAGCCTCACACGCACAAGCCTCACACGCACAAGCCTCACACGCACAAGCCTCACACGCACAAGCCTCACACGTACAAGCCTCACACGCACAAGCCTCACCCGCACATGCCTCACACGCACAAGCCTCACCCGCACATGCCTCACACGCACAAGCCTCACACGCACAAGCCTCACACGCACAAGCCTCACACGCACAAGCCTCACACGCACAAGCCTCACACGCACAAGCCTCACACGCACAAGCCTCACCCGCACAAGCCTCACACGCACAAGCCTCACACGCACAAGCCTCACCCGCACATGCCTCACACGCACAAGCCTCACACGCACAAGCCTCACACGCACAAGCCTCACACGCACAAGCCTCACACGCACAAGCCTCACACGCACAAGCCTCACACGCACAAGCCTCACACGCACAAGCCTCACACGCACAAGCCTCACCCGCACAAGCCTCACACGCACAAGCCTCACACGCACAAGCCTCACCCGCACAAGCCTCACACGCACAAGCCTCACACGCACAAGCCTCACCCGCACATGCCTCACACGCACAAGCCTCACACGCACAAGCCTCACCCGCACATGCCTCACACGCACAAGCCTCACACGCACAAGCCTCACACGCACAAGCCTCACACGCACAAGCCTCACACGCACAAGCCTCACACGCACAAGCCTCACACGCACAAGCCTCACACGCACAAGCCTCACACGCACAAGCCTCACCCGCACAAACCTCACACGCACAAGCCTCACACGCACAAGCCTCACCCGCACAAGCCTCACACGCACAAGCCTCACCCGCACATGCCTCACACGCACAAGCCTCACACGCACAAGCCTCACACGCACAAGCCTCACACGCACAAGCCTCACACGCACAAGCCTCACCCGCACAAGCCTCACACGCACAAGCCTCACACGCACAAGCCTCACACGCACAAGCCTCACACGCACAAGCCTCACACGCACAAGCCTCACCCGCACAAGCCTCACACGCACAAGCCTCACACGCACAAGCCTCACACGCACAAGCCTCACACGCACAAGCCTCACACGCACAAGCCTCACACGCACAAGCCTCACACGCACAAGCCTCACCCGCACAAGCCTCACCCGCACAAGCCTCACCCGCACAAGCCTCACACGCACAAGCCTCACACGCACAAGCCTCACCCGCACAAGCCTCACACGCACAAGCCTCACACGCACAAGCCTCACCGCACGTCCAGGTACGTGTGACCCGCCGCCACCAGCTCGCGCGCCTCGCCCACCGACACGCTCGTGACAGCTGGCGCGCCGTCATTGGCGGCGCGAGCGACTCCGGCGTGGTACCTGAAGAGGGGGGAGACGAGGAGGAGAGAGCGAGGAGCGACGAGGAGGGAGGAAGGCGGGAGGAATGTGAGAACTAATTCAACAGTGGAACAGGTGGTCTTTACGGTGATCTCTCACTCAGAACTCGATTGGTCAAGCACGTGAGGGGGGAAGGAGGAGCAGGAACGGAAGGCGTGCCGCACGGTCGCGACGCGACGCCCGAAATCTCCCTCGCTGGCTTCACCGAGTCGATTTAAATCGGAACCAATATGCGAGAGAAACAAGAGTCGGCTTCGCTGCACTGGTACCTTGGACGAGGCTGGTCACGACGGGACGGACGGGACGAGACTAGGGTGGCGTGACGCGCGGTCGCGAATCGCGGCGAAGTGCTCGATGGAGCACGCGCGATGGCGAGTGAAGAGAAAGAAGCGCATGTCAGATGAAGGGCAAGTGCGGACGTCATTATGCGTGTGATAGCACCAATCAAGCTCGAGGGAGGGAAAAAGCATTCAATGTGGGGAGGCGAAGCAGCAATGGCGCTCAAGGACATCTGTTGGTGAGATACTAACGAGGACGAACGATGGCTATCACCAATGTAACGGTGGTGCTAATAGAGAAATAAGCAAAGAAACTATGGCAATCAAACCCATCATGCAAAAAAATAGTAGAATGATGCAAATGAAACTATAGTATGGTAAGGTTTTGTTAATAGTGTATACGATGTGTTGCGATATGAAAAATGAGTAAGGCATTCCTGTATGCTGCAGGAGCCGACTCTACCGAGTACGAAGTCGAGGAGTCAGAAGAGTCGAAGTGACACAGCAACCGTCTAGTCAAGACCGATGCAGCCAGAAACATTTGAAGTGAAAAGAGCGGGAACAGGTTCAAAACGGGTTCCCGCGCCGCACGGTTGAACTTCGATGTAATAAGGGAATGTACCCCTTAGAGTACATGGCTAGTCTATGTCGTTTCGTATTCCTTTGTATTTCCTATATAAACTCGATGTATGCATGCTATTATTATCTCGGCCATTTACATTCACTCTGACCTGAGGTCAACACTTCCGCTGCAACACTACCCTGCGATCAACCCTGAGCGATCCTTCGCTAAGTCCCACTTGGGATTGTATGTCAAACTGTATGTTTCTGTTCTCTCTAGGCTATAGTGGGTTAGCCTACAAGGGGTACAACACTTTAGGGTTAGGTACTTGTACTCATGCATGCTGCCTAGTCCATCATTCCTGCCTGCTTATTCTAACATGGTATCAGAGGAGAATCGTTCCTAGGGCCCACCGAACGTTCCGCCCTGCCCTACCCGTAAATTGTTTCTTCCTAAGCTGCCCCTGCAGCCGCGCTGCCCCTGCGACCGCGCTGCCCCTGCAGCCGTGCTCACCCCTGCGACCGCGCTGCCCCTGCAGCCGTGCTCGCCCCTGCGACCGTGCTGCCCCTGCAGCCGTGCCTGCCCCTGCGACCGTGCTGCCCCTGCAGCCGTGCCTGCCCCTGTGGCCCGCGTGCTGCCCCTGCAGCCCACGCGTTCGCCCCTGCAGCCCGTGGGCGCTGCCTCTGCAGCCCGCGCGCCGCCCTGCTGAGCCGCGCGTTGCCCCTGCAGCCCGTGGGCGCTGCCCCTGCAGCCCGCGCGCCGCCCTGCCGAGCCGCGCGTTGCCCCTGCAGCCCGTGGGCGCTGCCCCTGGAGCCCGTACGCCACCCTGCCGAGCCGCGCGTCGCCCCTGCAGCCCGTGGGCGCTGCCCCTGCTGCCCGCGCGCCGCCCTGCCGAGCCGAGCGTCGCCCCTGCAGCCTGGGCGCCGCCCTGCCGAGCCGTTCGCCGCCCCTACAGCCCGCGCGCCGCCCTGCCGAGCCGCGCGTCGCCCCTGCAGCCCGTGGGCGCTGCCCCTGCAGCCCGCGCGCAACCCTAAACCCTGAAAAAAAAAAAAAAAAAAAAAAAAAAACTACAGTTGCTACTATTACTGCTGCTGCTGCTACTCGTGCTACTGCTACTGCTGGTGGAGGTGCTGCTGGGAGTGCAGGAGGTGCGGCCGCCCAGCCCCACCGAGCCGCCCTGCTGCTGCTACTACTGTTGCTGCTGGTGGAGGTGCTGCTGGTGCTGGAGGAGCTGGAGGTGCTGGACCTACTCCTGACCGTCGCTGTCTGTCATGGCCACTATCGCGGCAGTTGCTGCGGCCAGGGGTGGACAGCAGCGGGCACTGCCTCTCCCGGACGACCCCACCCCTCAGCAGCTTCGTGAGTGGGTTGTTCAGCGAGGTAGGCCTGGAGGTGGAGGTTATGATTTTAAGTGGCCTAAGCGACGTCGCGACTGTGCTTCTCAGCGATGCATCCCTGGCTGTGTAGAGGTTCCTCCTCTCGGTTCTAGTGAGTCTGCTGCCGCCCCAGGTGCTAGTGAGTCTGCTGCCGCTCCAGGTACTAGTGAGTCTGCTGCAGCTCTAGGTGCCCGTGAGTCTACCGACGCTCTAGGTGCTAGTGCGTCTACTGCCACAGGTCCTGCCTCAGCTGAGGTCTTGCACACTTTCACGCTTGACTCAGGCGCGTCACGTTGCTTCTTTCGGGATTGCACCACCGTCACACCACTCACAGCACCTGTCCCAGTCTCACTGGCTGACCCCTCTGGGGGCCCAGTAGTTGCGAGAGCCTCCACGGTCCTCCCTTGTCCAGCAGTCCCCTCCGGCTCTCTGTCAGGTCTCCACCTCCCCACGTTCTCGACGAACTTGGTGAGCAATGCTGCCATTCAGGATGTCTGGGTTGATACCTTTATTCCTGGAGGGCAGCGTGTGGCGATCTGTACGTGCTCCCGGACTGGCCGTCACCTGGCTACGTTCACTCGACAGCCTGGGTCTAGTCTGTACACACTGACCACTATGTCTGCACAGGTGGCTGAGTCAGGTCAGGTGGCCGCGTCGAGTCGGGTGTCTGCGTCGGGACAGTTAGCTGGGTCTTGCTCGTGCAGAGTACTCACGCACGAGACTCAGAGCTGGCACCACCGTCTTGGTCACCCCTCCTTGCCGCGTCTACGCGGCATGCACTCCCGTCTCCTTGTCTCTGGCCTCCCCAGGACCCTGCCCCCCCTGCCGTGCTCGCTTGCCCCGCCGTGCCTTCCTTGCGTCGAGGGGCGGCAGCGCGCCGCTCCTCACTCCTCCGAGTTTCCTCCGACCACTGCTCATCTGTAGACTCTCCACATGGATGTGTGGGGCCCGGCCCCCATCGGTGGAACGGACCGCGAGCACTACTTCCTGCTGGTTGTTGACGACTACACACGCTACACCACTGTCTTCCCCTTGCGTCGCAAGGCGGATGTCAGCGGTGTCCTGATCCCCTGGATCCGTGCTACTCGTCTCCAGCTGCACGAGCGGTTTGAGCAGGACTTCCCAGTCCTGCGTCTGCACTCCGACAGGGGCAATGAGTTCTCCTCTGACCTCCTTGCGGGGTTCTGTCGAGACGAGGGCATCCGCCAGACTTTCACGCTTCCGGCCTCTCCTCAGCAGAATGGGATTGCTGAGCGTCGCATTGGCTTGATCATGGAGGTTGCTCGCACCTCCATGATCCATGCAGCTGCTCCCCATTTTCTGTGGCCGTTTGCGATCCGATACGCTGCGCATCAGCTCAACCTCTGGCCCCGTGTCTCTTTGCCAGAGACCTTGCCCACCCTCAGGTGGACGGGGAAGGCTGGTGATGCGTCAGTGTTTCGGGTCTGGGGCGCGAGCTCCCTTGTTCGCGATGCCAAAGCGAGAAAGCTCTCCTCCCGCACTCTCCGCTGCGTCTTCCTTGGCTTCCCCACTGACGCCCCACCGTGGCAGTTCTACCACCCGCCCTCGCGTCGATTCGTCGCCTCCCAGGACGTCACCTTTGACAAGTCTGTCTGCTTCTACCAGCTGCACCCGCACGCATCCCACCCGGTCCCCCTTGCACCCCTCTTCCTGGTACCAGTCCCCCCTCCGGTAAACCCCCTCCCCCCACAGGGTCCTGCTCCCTCAGGTGTGTCTCAGGTCGACCCACCCCCCTTGGATGAGCCAGTGGAGGTCTCTTCTGACTCCTCTGGCCCAGCTGAGGGGGGTGACCCAGTTGCGGACGACACGATGGCCACTCGCTGCTCTCCTCGCTTGGAGACCCCCCCGGGTTTTCCGCCTCGACCGTCTTCGCCCCCTCCGCAGCCTGCTGCTGTGGACTCCGGAGCTAAGACTACACGTGCTGAGACAGAGGGTGAGGGTTCTGGAGGTGCTGTGCCTGGGGGTGCTAGTTCTGGGGGTGCTGCGACTGGGGGTGCTGACTCTGGGGGTGCTGCGAGTCCTAGTGGCGGTGGAGTTGTGGGTGACCCTGTTGGAGGTCCTGGAGATGGAGGTACTAGAGGTGCTGCTGGTGCTGGAGCTACTAGTCCTAGAGGTGCTGGAGGTGCTGGAGGTACTGCTGGAGGTGCTAGAGGTGCTGTTGGTGCTGGAGGTACTGGAGCTACTAGTCCTGGAGGTACTGCTGGAGGTACTGGAGCTGCTGCTGCTGCTGGAGGTACTGGAGCTGCTAGTCCTGGAGGTGCTGCTGGTGCTGGAGGTACTGGAGCTGGAGGTACTGGAGCTACTGGTGCTGGAGGTACTGCGGGTACTGGAGCTGCTGGCACTGGAGGTGCTGGTGCTACTGGTGCTGGAGCTGCGGGAGCTACTGGTCCTGGAGGTGCTCGTACTAGAGGTATTGGAGCTGTCGGAGCTGGTGGTGCTGCTTGTACTGGAAGTGCTACTGGAGCTGCTGACCCTGGAGGTGCTGGAGTTGCTGGTGCTGGAGGCGCTGGAGCTGGAGGCACTGGAGGTACTGGAGCTGCTGGTCCTGGAGGTGCTCGTACTAGAGGTGCTGGAGCTGCCTGAGCAGGTGGTACTGCTGGTGCTGGAGGTGCTGGAGGTGCTACTGGAGCTGCTGGCACTGGAAGTGCTGGTGCTGCTGGTGCTGGAGGTGCTGGAGCTGGAGGTACTGGAGCTGCTGGAGCTGCTGGTCCTGGAGGTGCTCGTACTAGAGGTGCTGGAGTTGTCGGAGCAGGTGGTACTGCTAGTGCTGGAGGTGCTGGAGGTGCTACTGGAGCTGCTGACACTAGAGGTGCTGGAGGTACTACTGGTGCTGGAGGCGCAGGAGCTGGAGCTGGAGGTACTGGAGGTGCTGGAGCTGCGGGTCCTGGAGGTACTCGTACCAGAGGTGCTGGAGCTGCCGGAGCAGGTGGTACTATTGGTGCTGGAGGTGCTGGAGGTGCTACTGGAGCTGCTGGCACTGGAGGTGCTGGAGGTACTGCTGGTGCTAGAGGTGCTCGAGCTGCCGGAGCCGGTGGTACTAGTGGTGCTGGAGGTGCTGGAGGTGCTGGTGCTACTGGTGCTGGAGGTGCTGCTGGGAGTGCAGGTGGAGCTGCTCGTGCTGGAGGTACGGGAGCTGCTGGTGCTCTTCGCCACCTTCTCAGTCTTCCGCCAGGTGCTACTGACTTCCCTGTGGCAGGTACTACTCCTCCGTTACTGTTTCCACCGGCCGACCAGTCTCAGCCGCCACTGCTACCGCACTCCCCACTGCCTGCTC